AAGAACAAAGAAAATGCCAGACGAGTGGAGAAAAAGTATTGCGGTACTAGTTACAAGAACAAATGATACATACAGAATAGTACAAACTATGAAGGGATCAAACTTATGAGCTACACTATGAACAGTGGGGCAGAGTAATTGAGCAAAGCTTACAACATGAAATGATCGTATTAGAAAAGCAGTGTTTTATGCCAAGGAGGTCAACAATTAAGAAGTTTAGGGAGAAGAAAAAAGACCTCCACATGGTCTTTATTGATTTCGCGAACGCAACGATAGGTATCTAGAGAGTTATTTTGGTGGTTGTTGAAAAAGAAAGAAGCCTCTAGAAGACATATTGACATGGTGAGGGATATGTACAAGGGAACGCTAACTAGTGTGAAGACAACAGTGGAGAAACAAGTGAGTTTTCAATGACAGTGGACATATATCAGGGGTCAATGTTGAGCTCATATTTTTTAGCTTTGTTATGACAAGTTAACTAGGCATCTAAAGGATGATGTACCGTGATATATGTTATACGTGGATGACATAACTTCAATTTACGAGACTAGAGACGGTGTCCAAAGTTAGAATTGGAGGAATGCTCTGGAATCTGAAGATTTTAGCCGAACAAAGACAAAATACATAGAATGCAAGTTTAATAATAATATGAGTAGAAACAAGAAATTAATTAAGATTGATGGTCAAGAAGTACCTAAAAAAGATTATTTACAATATCTTGGTTCGATAATCCATGACAATAGAGAGATTAAAGAAGATGTCACATATAGAATTAGAGCTGAACAAAAAAAAATGGAGATGTGCTTCTGAAGTCTTACGTAATTGTAGCATACCAATAAAACTGAAGGGGAAGTTTCATATGACAGCTGCAAGACCAACCATGCTAGGTCTAAGTCCTATCCTAAATAGGTCAAACACAAAGGGATGGATCTCCACACCTTCTAGGAGATCTTAAGACATCAAAGTATAATCCACTATGTGCATGTAAGGCCTTTTGTCATGTCCAGGGCAGAATGTGCTTCAGCAGGGACTAAAATGGGATTTGCTGGTTGTGAGTCGTTGGTCCATAATTTTCAAACCTATATCAAAATGAGGTGATTCTTGTGGCCTTTGAGTGCTCAAGGGATTTCTTAACAATTGGTATAAAAATAAAAAATAAAAATAAAATAAAATAAAATAAAAAGCCTAATTTTTATTGGTTTTGAGTGGGTTACGATATTTGGAGAAAAGCAGATCTATGGACAAACAAGGAATCATGACTCAGACTGACAGGAGAATGAGATAGAGAAGCATAAGAAATAATGTGGAAGAAGAGGTCTCAAGGAAATAGAGGGGAAAAGGCTGTCCAAAGAGCTACAGCTTGGCTACTCTCTGACCCCTAAAATGTATGAGAAATAGAATGCGACAATTCCAAATACAAGCCTGGCTGTCTCACCTGCAAAAGATGTATCGGGATAAAGCTGCCATTTACAGTAACTGCATTACACAACTGACAGATGACCTATACGACACAGGACCACACCCATGCACCAATAGACACATCTTGTCACTCGTAGAATAAGCATGCATGACAGGGGAACAGGTTCACTAAAAGGGAGAACGACAGCTAAACTTGTAGTCCAAGCACCACAAAAATTTCCATGCTACCATTCAGCTGAAGGGAAAGTAAAGAACCTTCGTTGTGGAAGAATCAAAACAACATGGTGGTTGTGGCAGGACTTATGGAATGGAAGGCACAGCAAGAGCTAAGGGAAAGTCCAACAACTAATGGAAGTAGCAGGTATGTGGTACAACACATAAATATGACAAAAAATGCCCTATTTGGGAACGCATTATGGTTAAAAACTCATGTGCATAACAAAAGGAAGTAGCATCCAATGTTGTCAGACTGGCTTTGGAGGCTTTTCATTTCAGCCAAAAAGCTACAACCAATTAGGGAGAAGTCTTCGAGTGCATTACAAGATTAAGAAAAAATTGTATTATATAAAAATAATATGAGAAAATGTATAAAAATCCAATTTTATTATAAATTAATTTTTAAAATTTAAATATGTTTTTAAAATTTTTGATTTCTACAATTATCCTTTTGTTAATTTAGAGAACTAAAAGATTTTTCTCCCATCCAGCTTCATTTTTTCTCAAAAAATATTCTTCTGCTCTCATGTACTAACGGGAAAGTACTTTCACCATACACATGCATGTAAAACATTCAATACTACAATTTACACAAGATTGCAAGTGATATTTAAGAGTATATCTTAGTGAAAAATGTATTGCACAAGCTATGTTTTTATGGCTATAGAAAAGTAAACAATATACACATGGCACGTTAAAATAGATAGAAGCAATATTTTGAACTATATTTAAAAACAAAAAAAAGGATATTCAGACATCTTACTTTTTATCAGTGAATCCAACGGAAGTTTCAAAATTCCAGTTGTTATTTTGATCCACTTCAGTGGAGCTCCTCAATTCAAAGACTTTGGGCAATATGCCCAAAGCGAAGCAAATTTAACATGTTTTTGAATTAGGGAAATACAGTGTCACAAACTCATGGCTGGTTCATTCCTTGGCCAGCTCATAAATAAAAACAGGTCACAACCAAATATTTATGGTGCCATTTAGCACAAAAAAAAGGGGGCATTTCTTTAACACCAAGGAATATTGGGTCATTCGATTTGAAAAGACATGATTTCTGAAATGCAACAAAATGGCTCTTAAGGAAGAAAACTGCCTCTCCAAGAGAGAGTGCAGTTCGATACAATTACTTCTTTGGGGAATGTAGCAACACACTACATGGTCCTGTTGATTTGTTGTCCCTAAAATATCCATATATAATCCATCGGAAAAGGTAGTTTTAATGTTGGAAAACCCTCTGATTGATCATCTCGACATTGAGATGTATGACTATGAAAAGTAAAAAGATTTTAAGCCTCAGAAATAGTGCATTTTACAACATATTATCTACACCGTCCATTTTCAAGATATTCGTATGTTTATAGATCTACTTGATTTTAACCATTTTTGAAATTTAAAATTTTATAATTAGATATAAAAAAATATTTTGAGATACTTAAGAACATTTTACATCAAAATTATATACCATGATAAAATTTGAAAGTGCACCTTACCTCTACACCTACGGATGCATCCGTATGCAAACTGCACCCTTCTTCAATAGCCAATAAAATGTGATTCTGTTTTCCACTTTATGCAATCTGCTTCCATCACTACTCTGCCTCTCCTTCACCAACTCCCCAGTATGAATGAGAATTTTAATAGTGGGGGTAAGGGTCAAAAGGAATGAACTTTAAAAATGCAACGTGCAACTTAAGTGTGCAACAAGGATAATTATGAGAGGAACAAAGGACAGAAATAAGAAGTCAGCCTAAACAATGTTCAATTAGCTTGCGTTGTCAGTAATATAAGACATTTAAGTCGCACCTCATTCTTTCCACGTCCTCTGTGGAATACTCCAGTATGCTCCAGAGGCATTCTATAAGGTTTTGTCCTCAGGGGTGGCCACATTTTTCATACAAGAATCATGGAGCAATCGTGAGAGACCAAAATATGGATTTGAAATGCCAAAGCAATATGACCAACTTGTGGAGCAAGCGACAGGATGTTGCATCTCTATTTATATAGGGACTCAAATACCATTCTTTTATCGAAGGCAAACTTTCTACAAGAATGTAGAAATGATTGTTAAGTTCAAGTTGAGATGCGTTCATCGGTTCTCATGGAAGGAGAAATTTTCTCATTGCTATCCCAATCCTTCACATTCTTCCAAACCATGGAACCAATTCAACAAGCTTCATCCCTGCTTGAAGCAATTAGATGCCATTTATATACACACACTCAAACAAGATGACTTTGTACTGTCACCTTCGCAACCCTCATTGGACTAAGGTTAGAAACCAGAGTACCATGCACAAACAAAAGACACAGGAAGGAGTTTTACAACAGTAGAAGTAGTTGTTGGCACCAATCATATGAAAGCCACTAGGACTAAAATAACAGGCATGGGACGTACTTGGAGTATGCAGTGGGTAGAGACTATTAGCAACAAAATACAAGGAAGTCAGAATAGAAAAATCAATCATAGAGTTCTGCATTGTGATGAGTTCATTAACAAGTGACCTCAACAGGTCAATGTAATTCTCGCCAAAAGGAATTTCCGCCAGACTTATTATCCACTTTCCTGTAGCCTGTAGTGAATCTAGTTTGGATACTGTATGCAGCATGATTCCAAAAAGTTCCATAAGCAAATGCCACAAGTAACAAAACCACTTACTACTAAAGAAATTAAGTATAAGCTTAACTGTCACAATTTTCACAAAAACATGGAAAAAAGGTCTCTTAGTAATCACACTGCTCATGCATCAGCCCTGGTTGTCAAGGGTTTTAGGACCCGAAACACATCCTAAATCATTGCAAATCCATTTCCATCTCAGATCCATGAATTTGGAGCTCCAAAAATAGTGCACGTCTAATCATATTTGAAGAATGGTCCAAACAAAAGGAATACAAGATGGACCATTTTTTAGGTTCAAAAATTCATTTTTTCGAGCTTCACGATCCGGTGAAGCCTTTGAATCTTCAATACATCTCCAAAATGGATTCTGGAAAGTGGAGAGATTCAACTAAAACCTACACTTCCAGCAATCCATAGATATTCAAAAATCAAAATAGACTCAATACACATAAAAATACAAACTGCAGACTTATTGCAACCTTTTTGCATGTATATTTTAGCAAAATAGCTTTATGCAATATATTAGAGCATTTGTGCTAATAGCACCTTACCAAGCACAAACCTTTTTAGAACATTTATCCTTAAATATAGCATTAAAAAAAACACTGTTGTCCTTGAACATATAAGTTTCCCTTTGATACAATATGAAAAAATAAACAAAAATCAGATTGCATACAATGAAGAAGCATTCAATTTCTTTTTCTTCGTAAGGATAAATTAGGGTTTGCTTTATCAACACAAGATATTAACATGTGAAATTATCATTGAATGAAATTGAGACACATTTCTACAACTCAAACTGTAAGTTGGATCAGATGTCATCTAGTCCTTGGGTACTGGATATAAGGTTTAAAATAAAATAAAAGTAAATGAAGAGCAATATGTGGTACACTTTAGCTTCTGAGCTCATTACAAATCCAACTTGAACACCTTCAACAACAATCTGGTCACCACCAATATCTTTCTGTTCAACTTATCATTGGCCAATTTGCTATTTTAAGGCATCAATCACATCGCTCCAAAGAGCCCTATTTTCCATCATGCAAAGGACTACAAATATCCAGTGAAAAATTCTCAAATCATCATGTCAAATCACAGCTCCTTTTGTGAGCACCAAGAAGGACAGCCACTAATTATCCACAAAAGTTTGTGATTTCTTTGTATTCATGTTGGGTGCACAGATATGTCTAGACTCATAGTAATCCCTGAGTCAGTGAATGCATATGCATGATACCAAAAACAATGCAAAACTGAATAGGGCACAGATGTCTATAGTAAAATAGACAGGATAATTATCCAAGCACCAGTGATAAAAAAACCATGCATTACCCCAGGCTAGGAACCAGAACCAAGAAAGAAACATTGCTCCAACAGAGAGTCTCAAACTTATGCTCTCAACTTCAAAGGAGTTCCCAGAAAGTCCTACCAAATTCGAGTTTCAACATCCATTTCAAAAAGACTATCTACAATTCCAAAAAGCTCACCACCTTATTTTAAACATTATGCTACAATAGTGCCGTTCATCCACCTACCACCCCATAATCAATAGTCAATTCTCTCATAGGCGGGATGTTTTCTATTGCGAAAATCATTAGATGAGGGTAACAAGCATTCTGATGATCATATAACACACATTGCACCATTACATTGGGGCTACAACTTTGATTCAAATAGCAAGCAACATTTCTCACTCTAGAAACATCAATGGCGAAACTCAACTCTGGACGAAGTTGGTGAGTTGGGTCAAACAATTCAGGAAAAAACTGAGATATATTGCCCCACTCTACCCAGCTATCTTCAAATTGCTTTGCATAAATGAGACTTGCCCCATTCATGGAGGCAACAGTGGCCTGCTGCCTAGTAAGTATCTGACCACTAATCTCACAGATAAAAGCACCAGCAGGGATCAAGTCCAATGATCTAACCCCCCAACCATTTTCCCTATTCCTAAACACCTCCAAATGAAATTTCACGCCCTTTTGGGTAACCCTATTTCTACAAGAAGGAGGGCAACGGCAATTCATTCCACATTCATAGATCAAAGGCCTGCCTTTCATTAAAATCCCATTATGATCATAAGGAAACCGATTTCCATTTACCGATATACAAGAACAATCCACAACACAACCACCAAGACAGTTACACCCACCTCTCCTATCCCCCTGCTGAAACACAAACATAGGGTATATAGGACTAGGAAAATATTCGAAGCCCAATGGCCCACTATCCATATCAACATCATTAAATAGGATCACAGGAACCTTCTCTTTCCCCATCGAAAGTTGTGCATGAAAGTAACAGGGTCTAACAAAAGAATTTGATTTCAGACTATCCACAAACTTAATAACCGAGCTACCCATTTCCGGTTGATTGGGAATTCTTACTAACCTGTACTTATACACTGAAAAACCAGACTTTCCAATTTCTGACCAAGAATTCTGAATGCTATAAAGCCCATCATAAACATACACCCTACCAGTTGGAGCGTCATTGCGCTTAAAGCCTCTGATAACCCTGACATTAATCCCATAATGCCTGCTTTTTTCAAGTGCAAGGTTCCCCCTTTCAAGTTTTTGATGAAGTGAATGCTTTGAAACCCCATAGTCCCTACCTCCATGGCCTGTATATACCAAAACCTCACCATGATCATCATCATCTTCATACCCCCCTGATGCAATTATGCTTGTTGCAATGGGTTCTCCAGTATTAGTTCTACTTGCGGGAATGTAATCGATACCAGCCTGAATTTGCCTGTGTACTCCTAAGACAGCCATTTCCACCCTGTAAAAGAAGAGATCGCCCACTGAAATACCAGGAATGGAACCTACAACCCGGTCCCGATTTAGAAAGATCCCTCTGTTGTGCATGGTGGTGGCTGCTTTCAAATCAAACCTGGGTCTTAAACCAGCCCTCGGTCTCATGGCTTCAGCAAGAGTACAGTTGTCACTAGGTTCTTCTTCTTTTTGCATGAAAAAGAACCTTAGGGCTTCATAGGTCATCCTTGTAGTTCTTACTTGTGACCTGTAAACACTTTCAGGAAGGTCGATGGCATTAGAAACACCAACCTTGACGAGCTCGAATGACTGTGAACCATTACTGTAAAGATTTTGATCCTCTGAAACCCTAACAATCTCCCAAGAGCATGTTTTCTTGCGAGGAATCTTAGGTCGGCTTTCTGAAAATCTAACGAGCTCTAACGACTGTGAATTGGTCCTCAAAGTGTTGGCTTGATCATCAAAAACCCTAACTGACGATTGTGAATTTCTCCTTAGAATATTGGGTTGAGGGTGCAGGGTTAGGTCCTCAGAGAACCTAACAAGCTCTAGAGCTTGTGAATTATTCCTTGGAAGCTCATTCAAAATTCCATTTTCAGAAAAAGTAACCAAAGAGAGCTCAGGAAAATGTGGCTCATACCTTGCAGGCCGAGGATCCAAACCTCCATATTCAGGAACTCTACTGCTAGAAAAATGGGGATTATTCATCCATACCTTGTTTAGGTGATCAAAGTTCTGTTCTTTTTTGAGAACTGGCTTGAGATCAGGGCCAAGGACCTCCATATCAGAATACTGCCGCATCCTGTCTGCAAATGCAACCCTAACTATAGAACAAAGCCTCTCGTATTCCTGCTCCGAAACCAAAACCCTAGGAAAACAGGCTGATTGGTTTTCCGGCAAGCTTGAGTGGTTCTCTGGCATTATTGAGTGTCTCTCCGGCAAGCTTAAGGGGTTCTCTGGCAAGTTTGAGTCACTATCCGGTAACATAGATTGGCTTTCCAGCAAGATGCGTTGGCTTCCAGGCAAGATTGAGTCATTTTCAGGCGAGACAATTTGGCTTTCCCGAAAGATAGGGTGGTTTTCAGGTAGCTCACATTTGATCGGCAATGGGAGAAATGGGTTGTTTAGGGTTAGGTTACAAAGGATGGAATGGTTTTCCGGCAAGGTGAAGAGGTTATCCGGTGAGTTGAAGAGATTTTCATGAGGTTCCTCTTTGATATGGACTGGGGTTGGGGTGGAGTTGAGGTCCGGTAAGGAGGAGGGTAGGGTTGAAGAAGGGAGATAGGGGTGGTACACGAGAGCATCCATGGAGACTGGCACACACACACTCTCTCTCTCTCTCTCTCTCTCTCTCTCTCTCTCTATTTTCTTTTTTTCTCTCAGGGGCTATGGTTTCTAGAGCGAGAGAGAGCCGTTTGCCTTAAACTCGCAGTCAGGTTTTGGGGGCGAGCTAGAGAGAGAAGTAAAGAGAGGGAAGAGAGAGAGGGAGTAAAGAGAGGGAAGAGAGAGAGGGAGGTGAGAGACAGGGGCTTTAAGCACAAGGAAATGGTTTAGTGAGAGAAAGCCGAATGGGTTGATTCCCTCTGAGTCTCAGTTGTGGTGTATAGAGAGGGAAAGAGTAGAGAGTGAAACCCATAGATAAAGATAGAAGAAATATAACACTGTAAGAGAGAGATCAATGTCCAGAGCTGAAAAGAGAGATTTAGGTTAGAGAGAGAAAGGCGGGAGGAAGAGATTAAGCACAGTGAACGCGCGCAACAAAAAAGGGCAATTGAGAGTTTGAGAGAGAAAGGGTAGATTGAGACTTAGAGAGAGAGAGTAGATTGAGACTTTTAGAGAGAGAGAGAGCAGCAAGTGTGCATGTTGCATCACTCTTTCTCTGTCAAGTATATAGTCGGACACCTGGCTTACTCTTATATCTTATTAGTGCTCAGGGTCACGCATTTCATGCTCCCGCGGAGGCCCACTGTGTATTTACTCAGCCTTAAAGTTTGGGATTGGGCTCATAAATACGATACGTACACGCTCGTGCGAAGATACATTCCCGTGGTTGATTTCATGTTCCGGCATGAGCAAACTGTCCATTTACTCCCTCGGGTTAGGGTCCCAAATTTTGGGGATTTTTCCTCCATAACCTACTGACCGATCCCAAAAAAATAATTTAAATGTAAATTTTGTTAACCTAAAGAAAAATAACATTTGCTTCATGTGGGCTGAACCGCATTTCTATATTATGCTGTCCAGATGTATGAAGCATTATACGGTCTAGATGTATGAATGCAAATAGGTGATCCATCTAAAAGTAATTATAAATAAAGACTTAAAAAATTTCTTAATATAATTATTATTTTTATTTTATTTTTTTTTTTCATATTCAAGAGCTTCATGTTAAAGATTATATATTCTCTAAAAAAAAAGATCAAATTATATTGAAAAATATATTTATTTCTAAGCCCACATTCCTACAATATGCAGGTTGGTCACATACTAACTGCGTCAAAGAAAAATGGTGTGGTTTGCATAATGATATACTCTTAAACAATCGAACTAATGTGTACCTCCAAACATTGTCATGATATACAAATTTGGTAACAAAAAATTTTTAGGATGGTATGAGAATCGATTTTTATCTCTTATTATAAAATTTTAGGCGTCATAAACAATTCTCATCAAGCACATCTATGAATGCATGAAAATCTTAAAAATGGACGGCCTAGATAATGTGTTATGAGATGTCCTATTTTTAAGACCTAGAATTTATTTTTTCCCTCCTTTCTATACATATCGAAGTTTAATTGATCAATTAGATGCTTTTCCAAAATAAAAACCATGCTTTAACGGCCCCAAATTTTGGAGATTTATCCTCTATCATCTAGAGATGGATTCCCAAAAAATAATTGAAACACAAACTCTATCAACCTAAAAACTTAATAACATGTATGTTGTCCAATTTTAAGAGAGCAAGCTCTGAGCTTAAAATTTTAATTTTTTTTATAAATAATTATTTAATTAAATTTGAAATGTTATGTTAAAATAATCATGCATATAAATATTTACTTAATGTACTCAACATTTTTTAACGCCCAATACTTTTACTCTATTATAATAACCTTCTTGCATAGGGGTAATTTATATAATTAGACAAGGGTAAAATTGATATTCTTGATATATCATCAGCATGGAGCAATAATGGATTCTTGAGTGTTAATAAATGTCACTATTTTTTTATAAAAATATCTATCATACCCTTTTTAATTACAAAAGCACCTTTATTAAAAAAACATTTTTAATAAAAAACAAAAATATACGGATATCCAAAAAAGTTGAATACATCAAAAGAGGATTCACATATATAATCAAATTTTAAATAAATCTCATACTTCCATATCAAAAAAATAATTTCTTTGAATGTACATTTTCTACTTGAGGGAGTAAAGAGACAGCTTGCTCCCGCAAGAGCATAGCATACGTACTTACACAAATCTTAATGTTTGTGGTTGTCTTTGCACTTTATTTTAGAACGGCAGTACAAATTTGTCATTTAGTTGGAAAGGGAAGTTCCAATTTTAAGACCTTAGGTTTTGCACTTCAAAATTCAAACTTCATATGCATTCTTAATTTTTCTCAAAATGGAGTTTAAACTTTAAACATAGGACTATGGGCATTTATGACAAAAAAAAAATTGAGAATCAAAATTGCGCGTGACAATCAATTAATCAATAATCCACCCATCCAACAATTTTTAGTAGTACGACCCATGGCAAATAGACAATGGTTGCAAAAAGTTTGTATAAGGTTGCAACCTTATAGTATTGAGGAAACGTGCATCTCAAAAATGATATAGTGGAGAATGTTCCCACATAGCATAGAAGAAACCTCTAACCGATCATCTCGACCTTGAGATGAATAGACATAAAGAAAAATAATAATTTCAAGTTAAAAAAATAGTACATATTATAAAAAATTATCTAGACCGTCGGTTTTTAAGATTTTCAAGTGTTTATTGATCCGCTTGTACCCATTTTTAAATTTTAAATTTTTTAAATAAAGATAAAAGAGATTTTGAAACCATTATAAGATTTTCGATACTGAAAGGATATCTCTAAATAAATTTTATAGGTACACCTGACTCCTACAGTATAAGGAGGCAAACTTGTACAAACCTCACCCTTAAGATATTGATAAAGAAAAAAATCGACTGCTTGAAATTAGATTAAAAAAATTGAGTGTGATCCTAACTTCAACTCTTAAAATGTGATATCGATAAATTTCTTTATTAAGGGGGTGTTAGGCAGCTGGAGCGCTAAGGAAATCTCAATTTTATTGAGATTCAATTTCATTTTCCATTTCCCTAGGTTTGAAAGATTCTCTTTTATTTTAGAAAAGATAAAGATTATATGGTCTCAAGGAAGCGTGCCATCTAATCGCCTATCCCAAAATCCTAGGGATGTAAAATTTTCTCAACTTAAATAGGGTACGGGATTCTATGAGTTCATTTATTTTTGGTAAAACGATGTCACAATTGTTTATGGGATCGTATAGAACAAGACTATTTACCTTTACTACACAGATGTCACAATTACTTGTAACCATCTGATGTGAAATCTAATAGTTTAGATGTGTTATAAAGGTTGAAAAAATTCTTTTGAGCTTTGAGCTTGATCAATGCAATAAATGTAGCCACCCAATTTCACATCCAATGGTCAAGATTAATTATTATCACCTTGTACTAAAGATAAATGGTCTCATTTTATACTTTTTCATTATAATGAGACTTTTACGTTTAGTACAAGCTGGTCACAATTAATAATGATCATTGGAAGTGAAATTAGGTGGCTGCATTCATTTCATCAACCAAGCTCAAAGTTCAAAAAAAAAAAAATATTTCCATATCCTCTATTTTTAGATTTTTATTTCTCAAGGTTTCTAAAAATATCTTCCAACCACCTTCTACTTTAAACCTATTTTTTAACCTAAATAATTGTGAGAAAGACATGCTCTTTCTTAACACAATCCCGTCTCTCTCTTCATTCATATACCTCAAACTTATCTCTTTCTCTCTCTTACTGCCTGTTTTACTTTCTCTCTCCTCTTGTATTTAATCAAACACCATTCTCTCTCTTCCCGTGCTTATCCAAACACATCTCTCCCTAACCTCTCACCACTAAGCATCTCACTCTTCCATATTTATCCAAACGCATCTCTCTTCTTGTGTTTATCCAAACATATCTTTCTCTCCTCGCGATAACCTGTCATCACCAAACACCTTTTTCTTTCCTTGTGCTTATCCAAACACCTCTCTTTCGCTCTATATACCTACTGTATATTTGAGAAGAGAGAGAGTGAGAGAAGAGAGAGAGATGAGGGGGAGAGAGAGAGTAGGAGGAGAAAGAGTGACGGAATAATAGAGATGGGAAAGATGGGGAAAGAGAGAAAAGGGGTGTGAGGAGAGAGAAAGATAGAGAACTTTGGGATAATGTGCTTAAAAAGAAAAATATTCATTGAGCAAACATCGTCAATTTTTAAAAGCTTCAATCTAAATATTTAAGAACTCAAAATTTAATTTTTCTTTTTGGCAAATAGTTGTATGGTGATCCTAAAGCGGATCTCAAAATTTCAGAGTCAGAAATTTTCTCCCAAGTAGGAAATTTTCTCCCGTGTAACTTTTACTCGAGGAAGTAGATATACAATGTGCTTTCAAAGAAATTCATTATCCACTATAAAAAAAACCCTATACGCATGTCGGGTTGTGCTTCTTTTAATGGCCATTGGCATCGTGTAATGATAGAAATAAATTATAAAAAGTATAAAATGATACCATATCTTTTGTCAGAAGCGGTCACAATTAATCTTGACCATTGGATGTGAAATTTTATGGCTGTATTTATTTCATTGACCAAGCTTAAACTTTAAAAAAAACTTTATCAACCTTTGTGATTCACCCAAGCTATCTGATTTCACATTGGATGGTTATAAGTAAATGTGACCTCCATGTGTCAAAAGTAAATGATCTCATTGAGATAATCCCAAGAAATTATTAGTTTAATAATACTGCCAATGAGCAACACACTATCACTCTCCCTCAAGTTTTTCCCGTGGCAAAATTTCCTCTCTTGGAGTTATGTCGGCTACTTGTGAAATGTATTTTTGAAAAAAGATGTTATATCTTTATGGGTGTGGTTTCTATAAGGTTGAAACCTTAAACAATCCAATTAAGGCGCACCTCCAAATTCTATGATAATAATGTAATTTTGGCATAAAAAAATATTAGGATTATCTGAAAATCTATTTTCATATCTAACTATCAAATTTTAAACTCCAAAAATGCTTAAAATCAAGTAGATCTATGAACATATTAAAATCTTAAAAATAGTTGGTCTAAATAATGTGTTGTAAGATGCACTATTTTCTAGGACTCAAAATATATATATGTAGTTTCTCATATTCATACATCTGAATGTCGAGATGATCAATTAGAGGATTTTTCAACATTAAAACAACATTTTCCAATGGATTTTTTATGTGCATTTTTAATTGTACATTTTAAGGTTGCAACCTTATATAAATTTTTTCTATCTTTATATGTACGAAATAGATTTTTTGTAAAGAAAAAATTTACAAGGGCGAGCCCCTAAACAATCAAATTAAGGTGCACCTCAAAAATTCAATAGGAGATGTCCTTTTGATGCTCAAAATCCTCAAATCGATCATCTCAACTTCAAGACGTATAGACATGAGAAAAAATGAATTTCAAGTCTTGGAAATACTGCAGTTTGTAATGTATTTTTTGGATCGTCAATTTTCCAGATTTTCAATTGATAAAAAATATGCTCGATCTACATTATTTCTTCT